TGAATCCTCGTTAGTGCAATGCACAGCTTGCTAAGGCAAATGTCATAATGAATCCTGACTTAGAAATTTCTCAAGAGTTCATCAGAAGAGAGTTTATCTTTCAGTGGTGACCTTTCCTGTTGCACGTGGATTAATGTACGATCGGGTCTGTGCTAACACGGCAGTTTGCAGGAACGGGCGCTCGATAAGCGAGCTCCTGGAGCTCCACCTGCTCCCTGCAGCTCTGCTCTGTACCCCCCATGCAGCTCTCTGCTGGAACAGTGTGTTGAGAAGTGCCTCACATGCATTCAGTGTGTGCAGAGAGCTCTGCAGAAGGATGCCGAGGTGAGTTAGTAGTCAAAGAACCTTGCTCAATGTAGTGCTGTCTTGAGGTTACAGATGCGTTTTAAAATTAGCTGCAATTTGACATTTATTTTAGCAGAAGACTCAGTAGGTTCTCTGCTCAGACAGAGCAGTGCTCAGGGAGTGAGTGCAGTGAGTGTGCAAGGATCGGTGTCTTCTCTGTAAGGAAAAGCACAGCAAATTCTAAGGGAAGGAAACGCTGCAGGAAGTGTCCCTGTTCTCATCACTCAGCTGCTGTCACTTTTTTTCTTAGGTGTAGGAAGAGCTTCCCCAACCAAGAGGATGGGGCTGTCTGGGCTTGGGAACGTTGAGGCTGGTTAGCTGTGACTTACAGACACATCTCATCTTTTTCACATCCCTTCCACATCGATCTGATGCAGGGCTTTGTGGTGGCACCTGGGGCTGAAAATCATGCATAGTGGAAACTGTTGTGTTGGAGGTACCAAGTCACAGTTTCAGGGCTGTGAAAACATCCCGTGCAGGATGGTTCCCTGTGCAATCAGTTGATAAATTGGAGCTCAATTCTGATCCTGGAAACAGGTGCAGTGTCTGCCATGGCTTGAGTCTCATTGCATGGAGTGCTTGAGGTGGGAGGGCATCGCCCACTGGGACCCACAGGAAAGCAGTAGGGCTCTGCTCCAGCACTGACCAGAGCGATCTGCGGCTCGCTGCTCTCCTCCAGCACAGCACAATCCCTGCCAGTTTGCCAGCAGTGCACTTCCCAACATCCACCCGTGGTTATTTCCAGCTCTGTCTGCAGGATGTCTGACCAGGGGAATGTCTCAGGTGCTTTGCAGGCCGCGGTGCTTTAATCTCAGTGCTCTGTGCCTCTGCACCCAACAGCACCTGCAGCTCTCGGATGGCTTCTGCTGTGAGCTGACAGCTTTGTCCTACAGCTGACAGCTTTGTCCATCTCCACAGTCTTAATTTTTTTTTTGAGGGCTGAAATGGCATCCAGAGTCAGGAGAGTTTTGTGTTTTGTTTTCTGCTTCATTTCAGTCTCAGATTACTTGCAGGTTTGTGTACAACAGATTTCTTTTCAGGCATTTCTTACCCAAACGCACTGCGTTCTGCATGTTGGGAAAGTCATTCAAGGTCCCTTTGCAGTTGTTTCAAAGCGATCATAAAACTGCCTCCAGCTCTAGGTGCGCTTCAGTGCAGCTATTGTAAGAAGACAAATATTTAGCAACTCACCATGGCTGAGTGAATCGTTAAAGTACGGCTTTCTCAGGACTGTTTAGTCTCCTGGTAATTATGAGAGCTTTTCTCTTTCATTTATCGGGTCTGGAGCAAAGTGTCAGCTCTGTAAAAGCTTCCAACCCTTTCTGTGAAGTTCTGCAAACAGCTGTTAGCAGGCGGTGCACAAAGTGCTGCCTGGGCACCCCGCGCCCACGGAGCTGTGCGAGCGGAGCGGAGGGCGTGCTTTTGTGTCGCACATTTGTCTGCAGCCACTTCTGTGATCATCAGGATGTAGTACCAAATTGATGCTCAGGAGATAGAAAATTGCCTTTTTCTTACGTTGCATACCTACAATCAGAAGGATGTTGAATAAACAGCTGCCAACTCCTTCCGCACGTATGCAAGCTGGTATTCCTGAATTTCTTAGAGCTGTAAATGGCTGGGGCTGGGCTGCTTTGGGGGATGGAGCATCTCTTTTTGGCTCCTTGCTGCTCGGCTTGCTTTCAGTAAGAGTTTGGGACAGGCTGAGTACATCTTCTTATTATCTGTGCATGGACTCATAACTGTGGCTTAATGATGCAGAGGTGCTGCAGTGTGTGTGTGTGTGTGTGCGTGTCTGATCCGCTGCCCCACTCGCGCTTGGTTCAGGGCCTGGCTCAGCTCCTCATCCTGCAGCTGCAGAGGCCACAGAGGTGTTCATTCATAGGACATTCGACTCGCAGCACCCCAGCAGCCTTACTCCACGCATCTCACTGGGGCTGGCTGCAGTGCATGAGTCCCACTTGCTGTGGTGTAAAGCAAGGGCAGCCTTTGTGTCACATAGCTGCTGCTGGGTGTCCCACTGCCAGCCCAACCTCTGCTCAATGCCATTTTGAAATGGTATAATATTTGATCACTGTATCTCAAAATTAAATATTGAGGCATTCTACAGGCGTGTTCGTGCCAGCCCCGACATGCCATTGCCATCAGTGGGCTGCATCAGAGATGAATATGGCCTTGCACCTCAACTTTGATTTTTAATGAAATGCTCCGTGCACCTCTAGATGAGAGCTGTGTGATTTGGGGACCATGTCTTCTTATTGGTGCGATTTGCACTTTTTCCCAGCAAGCCACTCGCTGCAGGAAGGCAGCTGTGCAAGGCGCAGGGCCACACTGCAGGGCTGGGGGCAGCACGTGGGCTCCATGCAGAGCCCTGCTCACCCCTTGTGCCTCATGCCATGGCTGTCTGCAGCTGTACTCATGCTCTGTGCTTTGGCACCCTCCATCTCTGAAGGACGTGTTAAAGAACGTTAAGGCCAGATTGGATGGGACCCTGGGCAGCCTGAGCTGGTATTAAATGGGGAGGTTGGTGGCCCTGCATGTGGCAGGGGGTTGGAGATTCCTGATCCTTGAGGTCCCTTCCAACCCTGGCCATTCTGTGCTTCTGTGAACGTTCCCCATGTCCCCGCCAGGCGCAGGGCACGGCCTGCCTGCAGAGCGCTGCACGGGGCTGAAACACCCACATCCATTTTGTTCAACTAGAAGGAAGAAAAGGAGAGGAAAAAAGCACTGGCTTATAGTAATAAAGGGCTTTTGAACATCTCAGCTGGATATTTTTCTTCACGAGTGAGAAGGCCAAATGCTATCTTGACATTTAATCTTTAATAATAAAAAAAGGTACTTTGTTTGCCAGTGAATTCCAAAATAATCTGTTTACTCTCTCATGCCTTATTACTTTTAACTTGCCGGCTTAGATGACCTACTTACTTTCCCCTGCTACCACTTTACAGCCACATAAAACCATTTACTTTGCAACATTTACTTCCCTGTCATTGCAGAGCCAACGGTTGCCGTGTTTTTGACTGGTTAATCCTTTGGGTTGAGGAACGCGTGCCGTCAGCGAGGTGGGGACGGTCATGGAACCACAGCAGCACGGCGCGTTGCCCCAGTTTCTCACTGCTGTGTGCTGCTGCAGTTTGCAGTCAGCCTGCAGTCCGGTTTGCCTCTCGGGAGCCTTGCTGTGGGTCGCTCCTGCGGGGCAGGCGGGACTTGCCCTGCAGTGCTGTTTGTCCCTATAGACCCTGCTGTGTTGACCTGCAGGCTGGTGGCTGTGCTTACTGCAGGCTGTCTGGAAGCTCTTCAGGTGCACGGCGAAGGTAGGCAGGGAGCTGCAGTTGGAGGAGGAGGCTGAGGGAGTCGTGGTGCAGGCTGAGCACAGAGGTGATGTGAGTTGCCAGCGGTGCCCGTTGCACGGCTCCAGGGAGGTTGTGGTGATGCTGTGGCCGTGTGGTCGTTGTGGCTGGTCAGAGCCTGCATTCAGGGCATCCTTAAGGGCCATTTTGGTGTCCAGGGCTGAGCTGCGAGAGTGTGGTCAGTCAGGCTGCGGTGCCAGGTCAGCAGCAGCATGTAGGCAGTGCTCCGTTGGCAGTGCTGTGTCAGCAGGGCCGTGTTGGCAGGTCGTGTTGCAGGACTCTCCCACTTCCAGCGCCATCCCCATCCGCTCTCCCTGCCGCTGACTTTTCTTTCACATTAAATCCTCTTACTCATAAACTTCACATCCAAGAACAACAGTGAGGAATGGCAGAAGCCTGATCATCTAACATGCTTTAATATCTAAATCTGTTCTTCAGTATCATTCTTGTTTACATTGTTTTTCTGTCTCAAAAAAAAAAAAAAAAAAAAAAAGAAAGTGAAGGGAGGAAAAAAATAAAATTTACTTCCACATTAGGAGGTGAGTTGCCATACACCCTCTGGAATTCTTTTTTTGCTTTGAATCTTTATTTATTTGTTTAATTTTGGTTGATGTCCCCCCAGCGTGGTTTTGGAGATGAAGGTAGGTCTTCGATCTCCAAATCTAAAGAAAGGCAAATTAAATAAAACAATACTCTCCTTGGTCATACGTAAAAAATAAACCCAAACCGTTCCATTCCATACCATTAAAAAAACAAATTAACTATTGAGCTGTTTCTACAGCTTACCAATTTAAAAGGGCAGGTTTTTTTCCAAAGTATCAAATGGATCCAAAATGATTTTACTAGATGCGATTGAAGTTACTTGCTGTCAACATTTTAATATCAATATTACCACAATGTGTAGTCTCAAACTAGTTCCTTTGTAGTTTGCATGGGATGTGAATGCTGTCTCGGCGTGCCCAGACCTAGAGAACTTGTTACTACTGCATGAGCATCAAGTCAGATGTTGAAAAATATCTATTATATTTTGTGATAATTTGGTAAAAATGAGCACCTACAGTCTCTGGTTGCAGTAGTGTGTTGAATGATCGTTCTTTTTTTTTTTATATATATTCATATATATATTTTGGAGCTCTAAGCTTCGTAGTAGTACGGGCTGACTATTATTCAGTACTTGCTCTCCTATCGCATGGCCTTGGTTAAGTGTTAGAAGTTGGGCCTAGGCTGTTTATTCTGGTGTTTGGCTTTGTGATAACGGTGCATGCCCGGCGTCTGGCCTCATACCCAGCTTTATTCTCTGCACACCAGTCTTGAATAGCTACAGTGCTCAACCGAATTTTGGCGCACCCGCTTCCCCGGCAGGCTCCAACCCAGCCCGGCCCGGAGGCTTCCCTGGGGCCAACAGCCCTGGGCCCGTCGCAGACCTGTACGGCACGGCCAGCCAGGACTCCGGCGTCGGCAACTACATAAGTGCTGCCAGCCCACAGCCGGGCTCCGGCTTCAGCCACGGGATCGCCGTGAGTACCGCGTGCCGGGAGGGGACGCGATGGGGTTTGGTGTCTTTTTCGATGGCGGAACGACGGGCTGCTTTGTGCACGGCTCCTGTAGCTCCAGCGCTGGGCACAACCCGCTGCAGGCGCTGAGGTTTCCCGCAGCCCTGCACTCTGCTGTCCCAGAGCCGCTGGAGTTGCAGTGCAGACTGGAAACAGTTGTCTGAGCCTTAGCTGCACCAATGTGGCGTGTTTTGAACAGCCCTATTTAACAGATACAAGCTTCTGCTTGTCTAGATGGGCTTCCCATCAGTGGAACGGCCCATTGAGGCCGGTGTGCTGCTTGCAGGCAGTGTGCCTGGCCTCTCCTCCCACCCAGAGGAGGAGAAGGGTTCCCGGGACACCAGGCCTGCCCGTGTCCCAGCAGTGGCACAGAGCCATGGGGGCTTGGAGCTTCCAGCCCCTGCCCTACCGGCATCGGTGTGTAGCAGAGGATGTGGGCATGGGAGGTGGGCGCCGCCTCATCGGGGCACCTTGAGGCAGCTTAGGGGGTTGCTAACGGTCCTTAAAACGTGCAGGTCACAACTAAGTCACTGCTGTTGTGTTGTCAAGTCATTGGAAACGTATTTCTGTCACGCTGCATGGTTCTGCAGGCTCACTAATTACGGGCGATGGAAATTTGCTTAACAAAGCTGCATGCTGTTTTTCAGATTGCACTGTTTTACCTGTGTGTGTTAGCATGAATGTGGTTAAACCGCTTTAGTGGCTGTCAGTCTCCAAAACAGAAAACCAGCAACCTACACTGTTTTCCCTTTTTCCATAAAATGCTGAGAAATCTTTTCCTCTCATAAAATAAACATGTCAAAGTACAGAGATCTCCCCTGAGGTTTTCCAAACTAAAATGACAGTTCTGTTCTTTGACCACATGGGATGAGCTGGGGGAGCGGGAGCACAGAGCAGACAAAGTTCCTGCAGTGGTGCTGTTTGTACTGCATTAACAGCCAGCATCCAAAGAGCCACAGCAGCCACTGCCTCCACGAGGGCCCTCATGCTCTGCAGTCCGCTCTGGTCCTGCTGTGCACGTGGCCACACAGAGGACGTGGCAGCTTCTTTGGATGAATTTGAGTACAGAACACAGAGTATGATTATTCTGCTGAGAGAAGGCTACACCAATTCAGACTTACCCCTTCTGAGGCCCCCTTTCCAGTTTCCACCTGAAGACTTGCTTGTTTTGGAAAATTTGGGTGGTTTAACCTCGGTGACATCCCAGTCTTTCAAGCAGTGAGGTGCACGATAAAGGCCATGCTGTCGTGATCTGTCTGCACTAAGACTTCTTCAAAGGCCAATTAGGATTGGATTTTGAGATTGGCAGCCTCTTAGCTAAGGGGATGCCCTTCATACTGGGTGTACTCCAGTAACTGCAAAGGCTCAGGAGCCCTTTTTACCTATATCTTTATTTAACACACTCCATTTACTAACCTGGTTTAGAAACAAAAAAGGGAAAACCCAGAGTTTATTTTTGTATCTGAGGGAACAAGAAGGTCTTGGGAAGGACCCTGTAGAGTTCAGCACAGAGTCATGACCAGCACAGCTTTTGGAAATACATATTCCATATTCATGCTGACAACACAGTCTTTCAAGTCCTTTGATAATTTCTTGCCAAAAATTAATAATCATCTGTTCCCATGTATAGATCACTGATGAACTTAACAATTGTACAATTTTAGGGACCTTTGATTGCAACGGCTTTTACAAATGGATACCATTGAAACGTTACACATGGTTGGTTGCCATCTCACTTGGAGGTATTACAGTATATACCATTTGTACTTCGTGCTAAACTGCCATTTCCCTTATATTTACTTTAAGAGAACAATTTTTTGTTAATCTCCATTCTGTCTTTCCTTGGCCTTTAATCATTCTTTTCTGTGATTCATTTTATTTAAATCAATTTCATGGGTTGGAAACTGGAAGGCAGATCGGGAGCTCGGGCCCAGTGCACTTAGCACACTAATTTGGAGACTTCAAAACCCCGCAGAAATAAACAGTGATCCCCAAAGCCCTTTGGGGGAACAGCCAAGTGCCAGCATCGTTGTCTGGGGTAGAGATTGGCTATGAATGCACCCAGCTAAAAACAGATGAGCTCCACTGCTTCATTAGAGAGAAACCATCATGCTTAATCAAGGGCTGTACCAGATATCACAGCTAGAAGATAACGTTGTAACCACAGAGCAGTTATCAAGATTTTAAAAAAATTAAAGCTAAGCAAATTAAATTAAAGACATTACCTAAGTAATGCGTCCTTGGATCGCTGCCAGTTTCCTACCCTTTGAACTAAGCTCAAGTTAATTGTTTAATTTTTTCGTTATTTTTTGGCCTTTGGCATATCCATCTTAGCAAACAAATATTCTTACACTGAGAGCAGCGTAGATTAGGAAAGTCAGTCAATGGAAACGGAAAGGTGTACGCACTGAGTGCATGGATTCACCGTTAGAGCTCGTGATCCAGGCAGACAGATGCGATGTGACATCTTTCATTTCTTTCTTAGCCTTTAGCCCAGCGCTGCCCTATCTCAGTGTGCAATCAGGGCTGGAGGCAGGCTGGGGATGGGAGCTGTGGAACACATTCAGGGGCTTTAAGCTGTGTAAAGATGAACGTATAGGTAGCTACTGGCAAAAAAAAAAAAGGGGGTTGCTATTTATTCTTCATCTCCCTATATGTACAAGATTATCTGAAAGTCTTTGATGGGCGGATTCGGTCCACCACTCGCTATGTTGTGGGAAAGGAAAGAGGTGCCCATGCGCTCCTGCTTCAATCCCCGTTACTGGCTGCACGTATCCTGTGTGTTCCCGGGCTGATTTGTCAGATCCATCGTGTTCTGTGGGCCGCCAGCCTGAGCACGTGGGAGGTTTGAGCAGAACATCGTAATTCAAACTAATAACGCTGCAGTGAGGGCAGTGCTCATCAGATTAATATATTGTAATCATTTTACACTTACCACAGCACATCAAACTATAACCATCATTTACCGGCCAGTATTAAAACTCAAGCCATTAATGACTTAAAAACAGAGAGTGCTTTTACTGTTGCTCGTTACTAATGAAAATAGATTTCGAGAGGAGGAAATGAGCCTTGCTATTAACTCTTCCAGGGCCACCAGGTCTGAAGATCCCGGGGCGCGCATCCCTCGCGCCGTGCAGCACCTGGGGCAGTCAGGGTGGCCCAGGGCCGCCTGCAGCCCTCGCTGCTCATCGCCCTGCTGGCTGCACACAGCGTTCAATGCGGGCAGCAGCCGCAGCGCCAGGCGTTGCGCCTCCCCTTAGAACGTAGCCCCGGAGTGCGGCAGAGCGCCCAGGAGGACGTTGTCCCCTTGGGGAAAAGCTGGCCACCTCATGTCCCTGAAGGCGCGGTCTACTTGCACAGCCCCAGCTGACCCTTCCCCTGTCCTGTGTGCTCCTCTCCTCACAGAGTCTCTCTGGATGTCCGGGCAAAACGGGGCGAAGTTTCTGAGCGGTCCCACGGTGAGGTGACATCGTCAGACTTCAGCACTACATCTTCACCAACAGCAAACGAACTGGAGGTGGCACTCGACGGACTTGGGCTGTTTAAAAAAATCTCATCATCTCATGAATCTGCTGTACTATAAAAACAACAGCTTTTAAAAGTATGTATATAAAATCCATTTCTTGTTCGTTTTATTTTCTCAAAGGGTTTCCCCCCCCTTTTTAAACTTACTCGACCCACATTTTTTGGTAGCGTTTTGACATAGTCTCGTAGCCACGTAGACCTAATTCTTTGTGTATCTCGTAGGAGCCTAACCATAGCCTAGCTGTTTATATTAAGGTTTTCTTTTGTTTCCCCCCCCCGTGTCCCCCGGTCTCTGTAGTTGCTGTCATTGCAGGATGTGGGGCTGCGGAGCACGCGGGTCGTCCCCCCTCCTTTTGTTTGTGCCGTCTTCGTTCACCCGGTTCTATTTTCGGCAATAAGGCAGGGACGACAGACTTTTGGGCGTCCTTTTTCTATAAGTGCTTTTTTTTTGTTGAAAGAGGTGATATAAGGTTTTTTGAAATCGTGAATTCTGAAAAAAACAAACAAACAAAAAAAAAAAAAAAAAAAGAAACACAACCAAACACTGTAAATACGATTCCATTACGTACATATAAACTATTAAGAAAGAGAAATACAAACTATTTTTGTGATGGAGTCAGTCTAAGGCAGTTTCTCTATTAAAACAGAAGACACAGCACAGGTGTGGCCTCGAGGCCAACTGCCCGGGTTGGCGCTGCCCCCGTCGGCGCGCTGCGCCCCGCGCTCTGCCTGTTGCTCATACGTGCGCAGCTTCCCCGTGACAGCCTCGTTGTCTTTTTAATTTAAAAACTGCTTTTCCCAAGACTGAAAAAGAAGCTCCGGTTTTCCTATTTATCGCATTTAAGGTTCGAAGCACACAGCTGCTCCGCGTTGCTGCTCCCAGCGCAGGCGGAGCGGCGCAGAGCTCGCATGGGTACCTTTGTTATCCATCACTTTCTGTGTTATTAACAAATTAGGAAAGCGACTTTGGTTTGTCTGGTTTTTTTTTTTTTTTTTTTTTTTTTGGGAATACCTCAGTGCTACAAGTTTCACCCTAGAAGCAACGGAAGATTTTAATTTATTGTAGTTGTAAACAGAATTTAAAAAAAAAAAAAGAAAAAAAAAAAGAAAAGTATAAAACATCATTGCACTGTGACTGGTAGGGGAAAAACTGACAGTTTCCTATTTGCACATGTTTAATATTTGGCTGTTATATATATGGTCCTCTGTTGGGGGAGGAAACTTATGAAGGATATTTTTTAATTTAATTTTTTTAATATTGGTAAATAGGCCTGCAACAGCAACTAGAAGTACAACACGGTAGGTGGCATTAAGAACATACTGTAGTGTGGATATATTTCTTCTTTTTTTAACGTAATATTGACGAGTTTTATTAATATTTTTTTAAATTGTTACGTTTATAAATTTGGTACTTTAGGTACAGCCAGTATAAGACACTGAATGCGACATTTGTTAAAAGAGCTGCTGCACTCCTATTTTTGTAAATTTTACTAACGAGTAGAATAACGTAGCCGTTCAGTAGACAAGGTAGAGAAGGCATCTGCAATGGAAGTGAGGCACCGTACTGCGAACCAGAAGGAGAAAACCTTGGGTTTTTCCTTATTTTTGAGAACAGAATCATGCTTTTTTGTGTAATGTTTTCGGTTGGTTTTCTTTCTTATTTCCGAACAACCAGGTTTAAGCAAGATGCTGGACGCTTTTTAAATATTGAGACTTGATCAAGTGATACATAAATGAAACCATTCTTTAAAAAAAAAAAATGAAAAAAAAAAAAAGCAACAAACCAAATTCCCTGAGGTTCAGTGTACAGTCAGGGGATTTTTTATGGCTATTTTGTCAATGTTGATGATGTACTGTACTACCGGTTGGTTTTCCTCTCCATTCCCTGTCACCTCATAGAATATTCTTTGTTGATCATTGTTGTATGTTAATAGTGTATAAAATGGCTATCTTGTAAGAGTGCTGTCCTGATGCTAGTGTAGTGAATCTTCCCCTCCTCTCTTCCTCTTCTAGTACATATTGGTAGGTGTATCGTAATTAAGGTTAAAAATTTAGATGTAGTTATTCAGATTTAGGACCAGTAAGGATAGAACTTTCTCTTATTTAAGAAAAAAAAAAACTTGCTAATAATTTTGGGAAGGTTTTCCTCGTTTGTTTTCTTTTCCTTCCTTTCCTCTTCTATTATTTTTCTTTCTGTTGTTGTTGTTCTTTTCCTTTGCTGATCTGATGCGGTTTCAACTAACCAAAGGTCTCACGATGTTAAAAATGCTGGCAAACTCTTACGGCATTTTGTAGATCCCCACCCTTTGAGAGGGGATGTGCCATACTACCTTAAATGCTAACGCTAGATATGCAAAACTGGATTTTTTTAATTTATTTTTTAAAAGAGGGAGGCACGGTATATTAAAACGATTTTACTAAGAGAAAAAAAAACATATTTTTTTAAGAATGCTCAGAAGAAATTGCTAATCTGTGTGAATATGTTTTAGATGTTTATATACCTTTTGACAAGTCCCAGTGGCCCATAGCACAAATGTCTTGGAACCCGGTACGTCTCGATGTGGCTCCCCATGCTGAGGGTCCGTTAGTCCCCGCTCACCTCGGAGTCCATTCCCAAGGGGTTTTGTTCCCTCGTTTCCTCACCCGGGGGTTCTGTGCCCTTGCTGGCGCAGCAGCTCAGCACGCCTCGCTTCCAGTGCAGCGCAGCGCCTGGCGGCCGCCTGCTCCCACCTCCCACAGAGCAGCCGTGGGCCGGGGCTGAGCGCAGCAGGAGCTGCAGAACCCCAGCAGTTCAGTTCCCCTCCCCACTAAAACATAAGAAGTCGTTTGCGATGGGCTCACCTACAGCGAAGCCTGATCTGTCCCTTTTTTCGTTTCTTACACTCATCGGTGTTCATTCTAAGTTGAATTTGTAGCTTGGACTTTAAGGTAGCATGGCTCTCTTGCTGTATTTTCTTTTCCCATTGTACAGCAGCATTCATTCAGCTGGTGAATGTCACACATCTCGCTAGAGTAGTCAACCATTGGGTAGCTGTTGGTATGACCTGAAAGGTGTTCGCGTTTCTTTTCCCCCTCCCTGCTCCGAATCCTCCGACGCTGTTTCCATCGTGGGTGCGAATGAGGGCTCGTGCTGCACCACCGCCGCGTTCCGCTCTGCCGCTCAGCGCAGCCTAACCCCCAATAAAGCAATAGCGTTTCCTCCATTTCTCTGAAGGCCAGCCATGGTTACGTATGATATTGCATACGAAACTGTTTACACAAACAAACAAAACACTAACTCGTAGCTGTCTTTTACGCTATGGAAATGTCTCTCGGGTGGAATTTTTTGAATTCTGTTTGTTGTTTTTTTTTTAGTGTTTGTTTTGGTTTGTTTTTTAAGCAAAATAGTTCCGACAGAAAACTGAGGGTCGATCAGTGTAAGACGGGATGCATCGAAGACACACCGCGGGCCCGGGGTCTGCGCGTACACTGTAGAGTTTCATACGTACAGAATCGAAGTCGAACCCATTTCTGTGTGTGAACACTACGTGAGGAGATTCTGTAAGCTAAGCAATACTTTAATACTGTAATAAAATTACCAAAAAAAAATAATAATAAAAAAAATAAGTAGTTTGAGAGAGTAAAGGTGCGCCGCGGTGCAGCTCCGCCGAGCCGGGCGGCTGCAGGCAGCGCTGCGGGGCCCAGCGGGACGCGCCGAGTGCCGCGCAGAGCGAGCGCCGCCGGTCTGTGTGTCACTGCAGCGGGGAGCAAACCTGCGTCGTTCTGTCGTGCGAGGTCCGAACTCCATCAGTGCTAGAGTGCGAGTCGAAGCGTTTCAGGTGGTCATAAATGTACCTAAATATACTATGGCACAGTGGCGAGCCTAGCCCTTCCTTTTATACTTTAGTATGAACTGATGAGAACTTTGGTAGTGACTTTTTTTTTATATATATACATATATATATGTATCTATATATATCAAGCATCTTTCAGGTCTCTGTGTATGGCTTTCTGAAGCCCTGTTGTAAAATACTATGTGGATGGGGGTCTCTCACATCACAGATGTGGAAAGTATAATTTTATATTTGTATTTTCAAATAAATAAGTTTGTGAAAGGTTTCCATCCTCTACTGTGGTCCAGAAATCAATGTGTTTGTCTGACAAAAAAATACAATAAACTGTTTTGAACAGATCTCCTTGTCCCTGTCGTTTGGGGCTGGCAGTGGGGCAGGGAGCGCTCGGACCTGGGCTGGGAGCAAAGGGGGGGAGGGGGCTGCAGTGTGTGGGGTGGGGGCAGGACGGGGAGGGCAGCCTCATCACCATCGTTCAGCAAGCATCTCTGAACGATGAGTGCAGGGTGGGGGGGGGTGGGGGGTGATGCCCAGAGCTCCACTCCTTCTACACAACAGGGTCTGTGTCAAAATGTACATTTCTACACCAATGACAAAATAAGATTTTGTGTTCGCCTCCCAGCTATTGAAATCAATTTGCAGCTAAAAGCAGAGTTGTAAAATAAGCAAAATTTTCCCTTCTCTGTCAAATCAGTGTCCCGATAAAGAGAACAAGGGACATAAACATGATTTGCATCCCTCTACTCCTGGCATAAAGCGTTTATGGCTGAGCCTCAGTGCAGGGTCTGTAAGTCAGTCGTGCTCTGAGCTCTCAGTGCCCCCATCCTCCACTGCCCGGCCACAGGGACCTGGAGCTGGGACTCCCCAAAGATGGGATCCTCGAGTTGAGACCCTGGAGCTGGAACCCCCTGGGGATGGGATCCTGGATTTGGGATCCCTGCCACCGCTGCTCCCTGCAGGCTGCGGCTCAGCAGCAGAAGCCAATCCAGCGCTTATTAATTATGAGCTTAAGCACTTCTCTTCATGGCTATTTACAAGGGCAGCCCCGTTATTAATAAGGAATAACACAATGGGGCAGTTTTAAAGCCCATTTGTTCCGCAGGGCATCTGGGCACACAACAGCAGTGCCCCAGGAGGGCTGTGACTGTGCGCCCATGGACAAAGCCCCAGATCCCCCCAGCATCCCACGTTCAGCCGCATTACATAGCATAAGACATGAGCAGTTAATTGCAAGTGTGCTGGGGTTGGACCTGAGCTGGTAAATGGAGGATCCAACATCCAGGAGCCAGAGTGGGAGGGTGGCAGTGGCCATCCCGTGTCCCATTGCCACCAGGCACTAATTGCTGTGACATATTGGCTGGCACTCGCCTGGGGAGCGGGTGAGAGAAGCCTGCGTGTCGCTCCTGCTCAATAATAATTACTGATTAAAAACGAGTTAAAAAGGCAATGAAGATGGAGACGTGCATTAACCAAGCGACCCCCGCCCCGAGCCAGCTGTGGGGAGATGGCATTACAGAGCCAGCACTTGAGGCATCACACGAAGGGTGGCTCAGATCCCCCCCAGATCTGCTGTGCAGCGGTGCCACAGCTGCCCCAGCTCCCACAGCCCCATCCCTGGGAGCAGAGCAGCACTGGATGGGACTGGAGAACTGCTCTGCTCAGGAGCAGCATGGTGAGGGCTCTGTTTTCCAAAAGGAGTCTGAATAAGTGTTTTTTTCCTTTCCAGTTACTGCACTTCACTCGCAGCTCCTGACAGCTTTGAAAATGGCTCCAATTGAAATCATCATTTCATATTGATTTTGGGCTTTTTCTTCCCTCCCCTGACAGCGATGCACCGAAGGTGTTTTCGAGTGTTACTGAAATAGAAAGCTGCTCTTCCCCCGGAGCTCCTGGCTCCCTCCCCAGCTGTCCCAGGTGTCCCCATGCACAGGGGGCAGTGCTCAAGGCCTCACACTGTTCCATGGGTCCCAGTCCCATTCCAATCCTCCTCTCCCAAAAGCAGAGGCTCCTGATACACAATGTAAACACCAGCAAGAATAGCAGGCACGAGAAAGCATATATCTGTCTCTGTCTTTTTGTCTTTTGCCTCGGGTGCGTTTGAGCCACTAATAGAAACACACAGGACTTGCACAGGCCTTTGCATCATCAAAGCCAGGCAGTGTTTTGTTCCTCCTCTGCCCTTTTTATCCAGAGATCCAAAGCACTTGTTTCCATTATCTCAGCACCTTCTATAGGTGGGAAATACTTCTTTTATCACAAAAGAGCAAATCCGGATGGGGCTGTGGCTGCCCTGTTCTGTCCCCTGCAGCCCCACTAGCTTGGACCCCCGGCTTGGTCCCAGTAATGCAGGGGCTCTCGGACTCCAGCACTGCCAGTAGTGATGATGGTGACACCACAAGTGCACCCTCTCCTCCTTCTGCCACATCGACCTGTGCACAGCAGCACCGGGAATCTCGAGCAGAGGAAGGTCAGCAGCACAGCGCCCATCTCTGCCCCTCCACACATCCCTCCGTGTGCCGCAGTTTGCATCACTCACAATAAAACGCGGTCCCAGATGCTGCCCTTGGGGAGCGCAGAGATGAAGGCATTCCGCTGGGAGCCAGCACTAACAATGCTGAGCCATTAGCAATCAGCATATCGGCACGGCATTGCGGCCGCTTCATAGAAAATCAAGAGGCAAAATAATTGAGTCAATAGCGATACGCAAGGATTGCTCCTTCAGCCCCATTCTTCTGCTAACAATTCTTCAGCAGGGCTGAACATTCAAAAGCTCAGGGAATCAAAAAAGAATTGATTTGATTCAGAGCTGCAGCCCGGGCTGTATTTAACACATCATTTCTGCTTGCTCTACATAGAACAGAAGGGCTGCCTTATGGCAGCGAGGCACCAAGGGCAGGGCCGGGTCCCAGAGCAGCAGAGCGGCGCCCATCGCACTCAGGGTCTGCTCCACGCG